ATTCAGGTCGTTCATGTGGAGACATGCGAGTGACAATTTAGCCCCTAAATTTGATATGTAACAATTTAATCTCTATTAATTTAAAATTTGTAACAATTTAATTAGTCCTTAACATGAAAATTCTCATCAAAATCAAATGTCAATTTTATCATATGACGATTTAGTCTAGATAATTTATGAACATACATTTAGTTTCTCATCCTTTTATCAATCCACATATATAGAAACTTTATTAAATATTAACAAAAATTTTCACGATAAAGACTATCTCATTACAAATTTCACACGTTGGAGTAACTACATTATTGTTGTATATTAAAGTTCAGAGATTAAATTATATTGTTACCAGATTAAAAGTACAAAAACCAAATCGAAAATAAGTCATAATTTCAATGAAATTAAAGAGAAAAAAATGTGTTTTTTAACTTTAAATTATACTACCTCTATTTTGTCAATGAACATCCAACTTAACAACATCTTCAATTCTCTTGTGTCTCCTTGGTTTGCTCACTCTATCCTTCATATATACACAATGCCCCTACTTTGTATAACCAAAAAAAAAAAATAAAGATCAAAAATACCATTTTGCCATTACAAATATGTAGTTGCATGCTTTAATTTGTATTTATTTTCCACATACATTTATTCTTCATATTCCTAACTACTTTGTGTAAAAGCACTCCCATGAATATCTCTACATAATAAATGGGGACCCACCATCACTTCATCAACCTCTCTATATTGTATTATTACTTCTCCATAATATTATACAAATATTAAATATAAACCCTCATGGGGACCCTAACAAAGTAAATTTTTTTGCCATTTTCATTACCCTTTTGGTTGCTATGCATGTGCTGCCATTAGTGCCCTCCTCTTACAAATCCTTTTTGTTTCTGGAAATGTTCATTTTTTTTTAATCATTTTTTTCTTTGTAATCATGAGACTTAAATTATAACAATTTCAATCACAAGTTATTTTTGGATCATCAATCTCTCTAGAGTGTTTCTTAAAAAGATTTATTTTTTTTAACCAATTCAATTACCAAACATGGTGGCATATTTTTTATTTTAGAAAAGGAACACTGAGGAAATTAATAAAAATATACTTTAAATTAGTAATTTTTTAGAGTGTTTAGAGAAAAAAATATTTATATTCAAAAATGGCTTTTTTTTTCAAAAGCAAATTTTATTAAGTTTGGGTTCTAGAATTGAGTGGGTGATGAAGTTGATGATCTTTAATAGGTTGCTTTTCTTTTCTATTTTGAAGATTTATGGCTGGTAAAAGGACTATTTTAATGGATGTTTCACTAAGTGTTATTATTATTATTACTCAACTTGAAACTGATTAACGTTTGTGAGAATGCAGAGATAGGATTCGAACCTACGACCAATCGGTTAACAGCCGATCGTTCTATCACTGAGCTACTGAAGAACAACAGGAAATTAGGTCTCATAGAATTCAATTTTCGTTCTCAACCTATGATCAATATGAACTCGAGGTTTCCTTCGTAACTCCCGAAACTTCTTCGTGGTGGCTCCGTTCCATGCCTCATTTCATAGATCCAGAGAACTTCAAAGAAATGAAATGAATAAAAAAAATGAAGGAAATTAAATAGGGGAGAGAAAAAAGTAGAATCATAATTGAACATATTCATTGTGGATTATAAGCCCAACAGATTTCATCCATTATTGTTTCAAAAAAAAAAAGAGATTTCATCGATTATAAAGATCCCATGCATGCGTGTATTATAGCTTTTTGCATTTAAAATGCAACACTTTTTTTCTCTCTCCCTTTTTGTTTCTCTCTAAGGCACGGAATCTACACGTGCAAGCCACAGGAAGCAGTCAAATGGAAAGAAGCATACAATTGTGTAATCATACATTGCCATTTGGGGGAAAGAGAAAGGCAACATCAAATGGGGAACAAAAGATTCCAATCTCAAACCCTACATTATATGCTTTCTTTATTCACTACACCCCTAATTAACATCTCTATATCTTAAACATTATAGGTTAGGCTTCTCATTTATGGTTTTGAAATATTAGCCCAAGATCCAACCAAGTGACCATAGGTGATATTAGTTATTAGAGAGAAAATGATTGATATATTTAAGGGGTAGGATCCTCACTTCTGGGTTGACCGTATCATCAATACTACGGGAGAAAAAACGATACTGTGTGAAGGGGTTACAGTTCGAACACAGGGAACCTATTCTAATATTATATTGAATTACCATTAAACCCTAAAAGCTTGAGTTTATATTTTAGGGTTATTAAATAAGCCCTAGATCATCCTGGGGAGATGGTGCAGTGGCAAGTACATGGAGTCTTACGGTATTACCTACCATGACTGGTTACGTTGTTGCTTAGCCCAAACAACGACCTTTAGTTATAGGGATTCACTAGCGTAAGTCACACAACATCGATTCCAGAAAAAAAAAAAAATCAGTCCTAAGCTCCAAAAGTTTGTTCTCAACTTGTGAGCAGTTCAAAAATGAGCATGGTTGTTTTACTAGGGAGGAAATGATATTGTACATGCGAACCTGTTCCGATTACCACTAAACCCTAAACGCGCTTGAGTTTATATATTAGGGCTATTAAATGACCCGAGGCCGAAAACTCTTTCCTCAACATGCGTGTTCAAAAACTAGCACGTACGACATTACGAACAATAATACCAATATTTTATTAGGAAGAAAACGAAACTGTATCGTATCAGGGGTTTGAAAGCAAAACTTGTTGCGATTACCACTAAACCCTAAAAGTGGGATTGTAAATGCTAATTAAGGTTATTAAATCGATAACCCTAGACCGAAAAGCTAGTTCACACATGCAGAGTCCAACAATCAATAACATCAAAGAGGGAACAACAATACTTCAGGAGTTCAAATACAAGACGTTTGGTGGATGTTATAAGCAAAAAAGAAGTGGGAGAAGGGGTATAGGGTTTTGGATTGGGAAGAAAGAAGGGAAGGGGGGGCATTGGGGGGGCAAAAGGTAATGTCAAAATCAGATTGAAAGATGGATGGATGTGTGAATGTGGGATGGCATGGCATGCCATGCGTGCACCAACTCTTTGCTGGACTGATCACAATTACTTCACTTCCCACACGCAATCTTAAAACTTCTTCCTCTTTCCCTTTTCCCCTTTGTCTTTCCTCATGCCTTTGCCCCTTCTCACCATCTTATCACTGTCACCCCCCTTTCTCTTTCTCTCTCCTCTCTCTCTCTCTCAACTACTTTTATCCCTTTCCACACATTTATGTATATACTACATAATCACTCTCTAAACACAATGCATCTTTCTTATAAGCCCAAAAAGACGAAAGGTAAACCACCATCAATACCTATCTTTTGTTGACCATCGTTAACGTTCTGATATATAGGAGAAATGTGTAGAAAATGAGATTTTTTTTTTGTTATTTTTAGTGGCGGTCAATACTAATAAGCACTTATGTATTTTTCAAAGATAAAATGGATAGAAGCTTGTAGTATATAAGAATTCTTGATTGTTTTTTAATATAAATAAATAAGTAAAAATTGGATGGTGGATTTAGTGAAAGTGAAAATTGAGATGGAGTGTTAAATTACCACTAAACTAAAAAAGTTTATATTAATATATTTTATCATTTTAATATAGAGGACAAAAAAAAAATGACACATGGATTGAAACCTAAACCTTTTGCTTTAATACCATGATAAATAACCAGGTTAAAATTAGTGTATATTTAAATGTTTAAAAAATATACTACTAACATTCTCCCTAGTTTGAAAATTAGGAAGATTAGGAAAACCAGGGTTTGTATCATAAAATCTCCTACTCTAATCTAAAATTAAATGAATCACACTACTAAATTTTAGATCGGCTTAATTATAAAAAACACCCTTAAATTTTATCATTTGTTTAAAAAATATCCCTACCCTTTCAAAAGTTTTAATATTACCTTTCATAAGTGTTTCAAAAATACCCTTTAATCAAACTTATATTAATATTTTGAATGAGGCAGAATAAAGACCGACGACATGTGGCAATCAGCGTGGAAGCTTGGTTTTCGACTCGGGTGCATACAAACACATATTTAATGATTCGAATATATTTTGAGGATGATGGCATAGTTTGGGTTTGAAAGACAAAGTTGATATTCCATCTTAAAGGGCAAGAAGAAGAGATCAAGTGTCCCAAAATTGGTCCCTCCGACAGGCATAGGACATGAGAGTTGAGGGATATCCTCTGGATCTCTAGAAGCTGAGTTTTTCAAGAGAGAGTGGCCAAAGGGAGCACCAAAAGCGCCATTTTGACAACTTTGATGGTTTTGTTGAGGGGACACAAGGCAGAAATTCTGGTTTAAACAAACACAAACCCACAAAAATTAATCAAATAAAATAAGCAATTTTTTGTGCACTACCAAAAAAAGCAATCACTACACACACGTATATATAAATATATAATAATGGCTACAAATAAAAAACCCCTCATGGATTCCCTTCTCCAAGCCACACCATTGATGGAAATTTTGAGGAGCTCTGACTAATTTCCATTAATTATTATTGTTATTATTCCTTTCTATTTTATATATAAAAAACAAAAAACAAAACACAGCATATATGCAACAAGAAGAGGGAGACAAGCGACCACCTTAATGAAGATGATGTTTTTTGTTTTCGAACATCATATGGAAATGCAAATAATTAATATCAAGTATATATATGTATATCTTTTTTTTTCATAGATGGACAGAGAGAGGGGAAAAAAACACAAAGGTTTTATTTACTACAAAGAAAAATGAAAGATTCGAGTTTTTTAATTAAATTACAAGTTTGCTACTTGAGAATGAAGCCTATTCTCTCTCTCTCTCATTAAACCCTAAATTTATGAAGGAACAAATTTGGTGGGGTTTCTTCAAATCACTCAAATTCACAATAGGGCAGCTCAATTTTGGCTATTTCCTTCATTTCTCTTGGTGGGTTTTCCAAATCAAAGATGGTTTTTTTTTTTTTTCAATGCCATGAAGAGACAGAAAAAAGGGGGCGATTTTGCCAACCAAGAAAAAGAGAATCATGAAGAATTTGGAGATGGTAGCCTTCAGAAGGGTAATGAAGCCTGAGGAGAAGTTTGGCTTGCGAGAGGGCAAAAGGGCTCAAAGGAATGTTTGAAAACCCCAAACTTCTAAGCATTATCTCCCATGATTCGTACCTCTCATGGCGCTGCCTTCTCTTGGTCCCTTCCCCCGAAACGACGTCATCAATCTCTCGCCCGAACCACACCTGCTCCACCGCCAGCCGCTCGCGGCTGTTCGGCGGCAGAGTCGCTTCCAATGAATCGAATATCAGAGAGTAGTGATTCAATGCCTCAAGAAATCTCTGCATGAATAAAGGGTGGTTGAAATTTGCTTCTTTTTCAGCTATGGTCACCACTTTTGGATTCAATGCCTTGATTTTATGAAGCAACAACCGGAGATCGTCCTTCGAAAGCCTGTAAATAATATACCGTAATGCATCCACTTAAATTTTTAGATTAAGTGATTGTATGGTATGATTTCAAAGCATGAGATTTTATGTTCGTTTGAACCTGTGGTTAAATATTTTATAAATCATCCGCTCGAGGTTTTTCATTCTATAATATGGTATCATTGTAGAAGCTACCTTATGCTGTTCAAATCCCGACCAGGAAAGAAAGTTCCAAGAATATGAATAAAAGTAAATATATCGTAACCTATCCCCTTAAGCTTATAGGTTTAGTAACAATGTAACAAACTGCACAAATGAGTACTGAGTGTTTAGAACAGTAATAAAAGATCAAATAATACATTGCCACTATCGAAAGTCTCATATTTTGTATGAATAATACTTAGCTCTTGATCGTCACTAATCAATAGAAGATTTCTACTTGATCAGTAAGAATTTTTCTTCGGACGATAGGAAAGTACGTTAAAAATATGAATAAAAGTCGAAATAAACTACAATCTATCAGTTCAAGCTTTTAGGTCTTAGCGATAGTACTCTGACGTCGGGTCAAATTCTTGTATGTTAAGAATAAATACAAAAAGACAAAATATAATATATCCAAGTTTTTGAGTTAAATGGTAGTTTCAATAGTACCTGTGTAAGTAGAGGACGCAGTTGACCGCGAGAGTTTCGTCGGGGAAGAGCGTGAGGGCGGCCGGGATGAGGCGGTGGTGATCGTGGTCATTAAGAAGGAGAAGAGGATGAAACTGAAACCTGAGGCCAAGAGACTGAGCAAACTTGGAGAGCCTATCGCCGGTCTTATGAAGAGAGTTAAGATCTCGGCCCGTGGCGGTTATCCGAAGCATCGGCGTCGGAAACCGCTCCGCCAACGCCTGCATCAGCGGCGGCCATTGAACCCCATGCATTATATCAAAATCCACCACATGAACAATCCCTTGCTTCTTACTACTACTCTGCCCCCCTCCCTCCACAGCCTCCAAAATCGCCTGGTTCGCGGTCAGGTGACTGAACCTAATAAACGGCGTAATCTGGTTCAACGACAGATAGCAAGCCTCGACCCCGACACCGTCATCTTTTGAAGTCGGTGCCAGAGGAAGAGAAGAAGAGGAAGAGGAAGGAAGACGGCGGAAGAGCGCGGCGGAGAAATGGTGAACCAATCTCTCCGTCGCGTCGCCGTAAGGCGTCGAGTTCGAGGAGAGAAGAGAGAGTAGGCGGCTGGCGGAGAGAAAATCAGATTGAGAAATGAAATGGGCGCAACGGATGAGCAATTGGCGCATGTGGATTGAATTGGAAGAAGCAGTAATGGGGTGAAACTGAAGATCTGAGGAGGTGCTCTCTTCTTCTTGATGATGGTGGGGAGAAGAAGAAGAATTGTGATTCAAAGGGTCCATCAGCATTATTATCTGTAAGAATTTTGTGAAGAAATTGGGAGAAGAAGGAGAAGTTTATATGATGGAATTATGTGGGAGACCCACATAGCCAGATTCTGAGCTGAAACTTGTAGTAGTTAGTAACAGTGACAGCCACTGTTTTCTTTTTTTCTAAGCTTTCAATTCTTCTTTCCATCGCTTCGCTTTCTTTCTTTTGGGGTTCTTACAACTTTTTTCAACCCATTATTTATAAGGGGGAGACACTGAAAAGTCAAACTAGAAGGGAAAAAAACCCGACCGGGTCCTTGTGGTTGAGCCGGATTTGAGGTTCTGTTTTTTGTTTGTATGTGATAAAGAAGAATCAAGGTGTTTTCCTAATTAACGTGTGGAAAGAGGGAATGGAAAAGTGTGTGAATCAATTAAGACCCTTTTTGAGAGGCTGTGGTGTGGGTTTATTGTGCTTTATGAATGAAAGATTAAGCTGTCAAAATATGCATTTGGAAGTTTCTCTCTTTGATGTTTGTGTCAGCTCACGATATTCAATATTTCTATGTTTCTCTCTCAAAATCAATTGGCAATAAGAGGAGTAGTCAATGTCTATTATAAACCCTTATTAGATTTCTTATTTTATCAACGATCTTTTTGACCGAATCCCATTTTCGGATCAAATGCGCGTTTGAGTTATAATACCATATTAATATTCATGGGATTCTATCTAATGGGCAATGAGATAAGTAGTTCATATCTTTATTAGGTTCCCTATGATCTTTTCAACGTGAGATTCTTACCTTTAATACCACATTTAATAGTAGTATTATGATGTGGTGTGAATTTATTAATAGTAGATTAAACTTCACATGTGAGATGTGTAAATGGATATCGGAGTTCCTCTCTCCAGGGATATGTCAAATTAAGGTTTGAGCTTGAGTAATTATTTTGGTAGCCTTTTGTACAGTACATTGTTGAATATATGAAAGAGAAATCACAAAACGTAATTCGAGCCTATATCGAACAAAATTTTGAATTTATGGTTATTAAGAGGCCAGTAGCCTTATTAATTAATATTCAATTTCATTAATAACATGTCATCGGGAGATTTGCTTGCATGGGGGACACGTGTAGAAAATACCCGCAAAGCGATACCTGTTCGGAAGATGCCGAACTGGACACTTGGTGGGACAATGAGCTTTAATAATCCAAATATCCAATTGCCTAACCGATTTCCCTCCCTCGAGCGTGCAGTTACCTACATATCAAGGGATAAATAGTATATTATTCAAAATTCAAATCTTTTTACACCAATAACTATCTATAAATTCTATAAATACTTCTGAACGTGGAGGGTGAAGGTACACAACATTAATTTTTTAGGCATAATATTTTTTTCTGAATCTTGTATTGACAAAGTCTTCCGAGTGCTAACTTTTTTTTGCATAATTATATCTTGGAGTGATCTTGAAAATTTATTGTGACAATCAAAACTTTTTGGTACCAACCATTGTGATGGCTTAATAATTTTGTTCCATTTTAAGAGGGTGTGGTGTGTGGGTGATTTATTATGCTTTATGAATATGGGAGATTAAGTTGCCACAAGTGAGTGTCAACTCATGGTTTGAAGTTTGAGCTAAGCCAACCTGATAGTTCTTGTGAGAGAGTGATCAGCCAAGGCCCAGACAAAATGAGTTTGGATATAAAAGCCGTTACATAAAGAGCATATAAGTGAGCTATGCTGGCTTTGACCCACACAATAATTTTTTTTAATGGAAAGTTAAAGAATTATGTATATAATAAGATTTGATGGGCCATATATATCATTATCTAATGCCTTCAAATTTATTGTTAAAGCGAACATAACTCAACTCAACGGTAATTGATATATATTTCAAACAAAGAGGTTGTGAGTTCGATCCCCACCCCACATGTACTAAAAAAAAGTTGTTTTCAGATTTTACATTTATCTCAGGATTTCCTACCTACATCAATGATAAAGTAAACTTAATTACTCTCAAAAGGTTTTACATGGTTCTTGTGACCTTTTTTAATTATCATTAATTTTGTTTTCTGTGACGTTTTTAAATGTTAAAGTCCTTTTTCATGACAATTTTTTTAACGGTCATTAACTCCGTTTTCCATGACTTTTTTAAGTGTCATTAAATTTTGCCATGACGCTTTTTAATAGTCATTAAATTCTTTTTTGTGATATTTTTAATCTACGTCATGAGGACTAATTAAAAGTTTTAAAACCATAGAGATCAAATTCGTACTTCTTTATACTGAAAAAAAAAAAGCACACATAAATAATTACTGTTATATTAAAAACAAAAATGAACAGTTTTAGATAATTATCTCTTCTTCGATTTCTAAGTTTACAGGCCATGTCACTAACAATTAATCGTCTATAGCTAATAAATCAGTTAAATCTAAAATTGTCTATATCTAATCAATTAATCACAAATTGCAACTCAACGGTAATTGATATATAGTTCCAATCAAGAGATTGTGAGTTCGATCCCCCATCTCCACATGTTATACTAAAAAAAATCAATTAATCACAAATTTACTACTAATTCATTAAATTAATATACTAAGTTTATAATATTTTTCAACAAAATAAGATTTTATTCGATCAATTTAATTTTGCCCAAGTTATTTATTAATTAAGACACTAGTTTCAAATTTAAACATATTATTCTATGAAAAAAGAAATATCGTTGGCTAATTTGTGCCTTGTAATTATGTACTTTCACATGTATTTTTATTTTGTCCCTCTACTTTAAAATATTTGGTTTCATCCAAAACTATTTAAGCTTGAGAAAATCAAATCACTTAAAAATTAAACTTATGGCACACTTTCTATATCCTTTGTCTCATTTCAACTCAACTATTTTAATTTTACGTATTGTTGCATGGGTACACGATGTTGTAGGTAAGCCCATCTGATCATAGTTAAGTGGGTAAAAGCACCTATGTAGGGTCGTGAGAGTCTCATCTCAACTCAACTATTTTAATTTTACGTATTGTTGCAGTGGTACAAGATGTCGTAGGTAAGTCCACCTGATCATAGTTCAGTGGGTAAAGACACTTATGTCCGACTAGAAGGTCATGAATTTGAATCTAATTTCGATTTTCCGGCATATTGTACTTAAAAAAAATTGTGGTAGGTAGAGTAATTAAGTGAACACATAGACATGCTTTTTTTTGTAACTAAGGTACTAAATTACTAATACAATATACATTATTTTTTTTTTCTAAATTTGGATCATAGTTAGAAACTCTCAAGCTATTGGGCCTAAATTGATTGAGTGAAAGCATGTAGGTGGTGGGCTAAGGAAATATAACAACAACCTAGGGTGGGCAGATGAATAGGTTGCTTTGATTCTTTTTGTTTTAACTCTTAAAAAAAAAAACAACTTGTTACTTTTAAATTATTGAGTGCAATGTATGATTGAACGAAGGGAAATTTATATGACGTTTTTTTCAATTTTTTGAAATCGATGTTGTGTGGCTTACGCTAGTGGATCCCTATAACAGAAATTAATTAAATTAGATTTTCAATCCCAGAAACATAAATTTCAAACAAGAAAAAGAGTAGTTTCAATACGTAGCAAAAATATTTGTCATATTTGTAAATATATAGCAACAACTTTGTAAATATATACCAACATTTTTTTATAGGTAAATATAGCAAAATTTTTAAAATCAGATTTTTATGGTTTTTGTTATTCCAATTTTGCCCTTGTATAAGTCACACTAAATATACTTTTAAGTATATCATTGATAAATCTTCTTCAGATTGAATATTTTTCTTTTAAGTAACATTAATGGTTGGTTTCCTTATTAATATATCAATTATCTCAGTGATATATTTGACTTTTAGGTATATCAGTTATAACAAATCTCAAGTATATTACTAATATATCTAATATAAAGTATATATATCCTACTAAATATATGAATGATATACTTCATATTAGGTATATCACTATTAAATTTTCTTCAAGTTAAGATTTTAGTTTAAGTAACATTGTTGGTTTGTTATTGATATATCAAATATATATATTAGTGATCTTGAGGGGAAAATCTGGAGCACCACGTGGAACATCCCTACGTAGACGCGTGTGGTCCCCATGACCCACGAAGAGGAGGGCCTCGAGCGCACTGTATGGACGTATGTATACGAGATTAGCGCACTTGGCACTCAGAACCTGCGGTGCGTCTAGTACTTTGTCAAACTGCTATCCTTGACGCTATCGTGCCTCTTTGAAGAGTCATAAGGAGGTACGAAATGTCGGGGTCCCCCACAACATTCCTCTGGCCACCTCATTCTCTCTTTCTATCTTTCCCTCTCTCCATGTAAAAGTAACACTTAACTTATGGAAAGAAGTAAGCAAGAAACTCCTATAAAGAAACTCAGGGGAATCCTTATGCGAACCCTTAAACTAATTCTAATTCTACACGTACACTTCCATTCAAGACTACCATGGAGAGATCCTTGAAATTATTCTATGTGCTTCGTAGCCTCTTGTCTCATCTTAAATACTAACTTAAGTATCAAAGTGCAATTGACAGAACATCATACCGCTGCTATAATTATGCGTGCAGCTATTGTCGGAGCATAGAGACAAAGGCATACGTCACACTCGCATGACACATACGTGGTACTTGCCCCATAAATCAACATCAACAAGTGATCATACTTCAATTTTAAGTATAGCAGTTATATAATTGATATACAGAATACAAAGTATATCGGTCAAACTAAATATATGAATCATATATACTTCATATTAGGTATTTCAATTGGTATGGGTGTGATTTCTTTTGTTTACAAAGGTAAAAAGAAGCTAGTTAGGTACTGTTTTCCATTATTTTACACTTAGAAACCTTGTTTTTAAGCTTGGTTTAATGTTCAAAACTTTTATTTTGGAGTTATCTTGGGTTATACATGCATTTAGAACATTTTTATAACATTTAGAGTTGATTTCTAACAAAAATTAGGATTGTGTGCACGAAAATTCTGAATTAGG